GAGACTCGGCCAATCGTCGAATGGCTTCCGCCTCCCCTGTGCAATGAAAAATCGTTGAATTGCAGCGTAAATAAGAATCAGCGAATTCACAATGGTCATGATAAACAGAAAACGCAAAAATGAATTTCAAATGGGAATTTTTCGTGTATATAACAAATGAAGCGTGAACTGAAAAGCTAGGAAGCACTGGACAGTTGTTTCGANTCGACCTGGTTGGGTCTCATCAGCAGTGCGAATCTATCGACCCAACTGGGGATCGAACTCGAAAAGATGAATGTAAAGCGCCTGATTAAATTAAACGGGCTACAAAATAATGTGGACCAGGCAACTGGAATCGTAGTTTCCCAGCTGCGAAGCATTGTGGTAACTTTGTGCATATACTAAATAAAAATACTAAATACTAAATAAAAATGGATCCTGTATGGATTTTCCCCACTGGGTTCAGTATGGTTGCCCAGAGGATATTGAAGTCTGAATCCGAAGACATTTCCGAAAGTCGAGTGAAAGCAGCAGAAGTTTAGTAAGCCTTACAGCTTCGGGTAGACACGTGGTAGCTGGATGTAAATTAATTCCGGTTGTGTTACAGCAGTAAGGGGATAGTCTGATGGGACGACTGCTCTATGGTTGCCAAGGTTATATGTAGTAGTGTTCATGTACTAAGTGCTTGAGATGTTTACATCGCGGTGGCTGTGGTATACGTGATGCGTAGCACTGAATAGAATGTCTAGATATGCAATATTTTTGCGACAACTGTAAGACCAAAGATCAAGGTCGACCAAATATTAACCTAATGGAGAGATGAAAACTGGAACAACAAATTTAGTCACTCGGGTTATAACGTTCTTTCAAGTGGGTATCCTCACCCGAATGGGCCGCCGAAAAGCCGCAACCAAAAGCGACGCATGGAATTGCATGCTAATTGGTTGGTTAAACTGAACTGAACTGAGTTGGTATCCTCTGGTCGACCAAGTTGTGACACTAAATGAAACAGCTGAGTTTTCTAAACAGTATTATGTTTATCAGCGCATTAGTTAAATAGTTTTTAATCCTAATGTTTCTTTTTTCGAGTAGATGAATTTAAAAACATGGTGTTAATCAGGCCAAATAAGTGCATGGTTATAGATGCACAATTCAAAAAACTTCATTTTTGATAGTTTATGATCCAACTAACGTTACCATAGAACAATCATCTTAAACTAAGGCGGACATCCTGGTTACAGTATACGAAATCCGGTGCTCTGCGACTTTATTAGCTGGTAAATATCGAAATAAGATAATTGCGCACTTGAACAAGGTCACATTTGGCACCATAAGACGACGATTTTGAGTAGGAAAAATACTGTTTTCACGGAGAATGCACTTACCAAGAGCTTTGTTAGTTATCTCAGTTCTCTCACCCTCTGATGCTAACACTTGACTTCGTTTCATACCCTCAGCACGATTGATAGCGGACTCACGCTGACCTTCGGATTCCAAAATAGCTGCCCGTTTCTTGCGATCAGCTTCAACTTGCATTTGCATAGCTTCTTTAATCTTTTGTGGTAATTGAATATCACCTGCAATAAAAAGAAAGCCGTTCATCGTGCTCATATTGAAGACTCGAGTTAACAGGTCGGGTTGATGCCATACACTGGAAAGCCGCTCATCATCATCATCGTACAGCGAAATACAGTGAAGCTAACTTCACGGACCGCTGCCAAACTCACAATGCATACAAGGTTAGTGGTAAAATTTAAGTTGGTCGGGGATTGGATCTATTTTGAGGGAGGGAGAAGATGAGCCACTAT